CAGCAGCAGCAGCAGCAGCAGCAGCAGCAGCAGCAGCTGTCGCGGTATCTGGAGCAAGAGAACGCGGAGAAGGCCGAGCAAGAGGAGCAACAACAGCATGCGGAAAGAGAGGTGCAGCCTGCCTTAAGTGAGGAGCACCACCACGAGCTGGTCGATCCACCCGACCTGTTTACGGCTTTTGGCGCAGCGGGGTCCTCACTACTGGCGGAGGCAACTGCTGTGCCAGGTTGGGCCGAGGCACAGGACAAAGCCCAGGCTGATGCATGCGGCGGCGTTGATGCAGAGTTCCTTGTGGGCCCTGCCAGTACCGAGGTCCTTGTGGCGGCTTCAAACCCAGCAAATCACCAGCTGCCCAGGGTGGAGCGGGTTAGCGGTGGGAACGCCGGGCAGCCGCCTGCTCCAGGGTCCGCGGGCAGTGGAGACGTCACTGGCAGCGGCAGCGGGCCCGCTGGGACAAGCGAGGCATGCATAGAGCCTGAGCCCGAATGGAGCAGCGGTAGCAGTGGCGGCAGTAGCGATGAAAGTGGTACAGGCGGCCCTAGCGGAGGTGAATGACGCAGCGCACGCTTGATGTGCTGTGGCGACTCACCGACATGATGCTGTTGCAAGACCATGTGTGTTCGTTGTGTGTGTAATCAAAAAAGTAGTGTATAAAGTGACACTGATGCAGTTCTTACAAGGGACCATGATTGGGTCTGGACGGTGTACCCAAAAACCTACATGTGCAGAGGCATGCCTGGCAGTCCTGAAACATGTCAAGCTGAGGCCAAAAGCTGGCTGTGCAAAACACACAAAAGTGCCCCACTATGTCGCGGCAGTAGTGTGTGTTGCCCCGTCATGCCCCGACCTGGTCAAGCCCTGGGATGCGGCCACCCCGTGGCGCCTTGGCGGGCATGGACCACTTGGCCGTCACGGTCTTGGGCTGGGTGTAGAATTGCACGCCCGCACGGCCGTACATGTGCAGGTCGCCTGCGGCCAAATACGGGTGACATGGGAGTGGATTAGTACACACGGCCTGCCCTGAGGAACTCAAGCATGGATGGCCATCACCGTTTTGGCATGCACAAAATGGAGCCCGCAAGAAAACTTGCAGGAGCTACGGACATGCAGGCACCCTTGCCCTCCCCCCCCTGTGGTATGCCCTGCCACCTGCGAAGCTGCCCCTCCAGCCGGTGAAGCTGAAGAAGGGCAGTGGCACGGGGATGGGCACGTTGATGCCCACCATGCCGACACCAATCTGCAGATTGACGATGGGGGGGACAGGCCAGGAATAATTGTGCATTGAAGGGGGTTGGATGGGCAGGCCCGCACACAAATGACGTCAACGGCACAAGCTGGAGACATTCACCTGTGGTGCCCCCCGGGCCCCTCACCTCGTGCTGAAACTTGCGGGCCGCGGCCCCCGAGTGGGTGAAGATGGCGGTGCCGTTGCCGTGCTCGTTGGAGTTGACCAGCGCAATAGCAGAATCCAGGTCAGGGGCCTGGGGAGGAGCGGGAGGAAAAGGCTGGGTCCAGTCCGCAATTTCTGCAGGCAGGACCTAATTCAGCTGTGGCGAGGATGACAATTCTGGGCTCCCAGGGGCCTTGAGAGGCAGGCTATGTCCAGCCCCGGGTCCCTATTCAACCCCCAATCCATTGCCGGAGGAAGACCCTCCCCCCTGCAGCGGCCCGTGCCCACCTCCAGGCAAACCAGCACGGGTCCAAATATTTCCTCATCATAGCAGGCCATGCCCGGCCTCACACCACCCAGCAGGGTTGGGCCCACAAAGTTGCCACGAGGGTACTTGGGCACCTTGACACCCCGGCCATCCAGCAGTAGCTGCGCGCCCTGCTCCACGCCTGGAGTGTTGCAGTGTGAGGCGAGTAGGAGGTGGAGCCAGCATGACAGCGCTGAACAACAGTCGAAAATCTTAGCTAATGTAGTGAGACATGCGACTCAGCAGCGCGGCCAGCTTGGCAACTACCAATCATCAAATCTTGTCCACTCGGTATGAAGGGCTCACTCTTCCCGATGATGCTCTCGGCGCGCGCTTTGGCCTCCTTGCTAATCATGGGGCCAACGTCAGCGCCCGGCTCCATGCCGCCATCCACCTGCCAGTATTGCACGGAGCCAGTAGTGGTGGTCGTGTGAGAGCGGGCCATCGCAAGAGACACTGTTGCGAGGCTGACAAGCGGCTTTCAAGGATCAACGTTTCGCATGTCATAGCTCAAGACATTCTGGCAGGCAGCCCATGCCTGTGCCCGGTCCAGAAGGGGCATGTCTGCCGCAGGTCACCTTGAGCGACCTTGCCGCCTCCAGCAGGGGCTCCTTCCAGCGCTCAAAGCCCCCGACAAACACCACAGCACTGATGGCCATGCAGCGCTGCCCGGCGGCCCCAAAGGCAGCCCCGGCGATGGCCTTGACGGTGGCGTCGACGTCCGCGTCAGGCAGCACCACGGCGTGGTTCTTGGCCCCCATGTTGGACTGGTGCGCGCATCGGGGGGGGGGTGCGCAGAGGCAGGGGCACGCATGCTGGGGCCAAGCTCTTGTTCCATGTGCTCGGGGACATGCTGCTGTGATGTTGTGCAACGATTAATTTCCCCCCTAATTGCGTGATTCGCGCTGCACAAAGGCTGTAACGCTTTCATGCACAGCACCCTGCCTGGCTCGGCGACCCAGCCACAGCCCCATGCACACACCTGCACGCGCTTGCCGCTGGCTGCCGCGCGCGAGTAGACGTGTCGTCCCGCCGCATCGGACCCCACGAAGGACACGGCCTTGATGTCGGGGTGGTCAAGGATTGCGTTGACCACGTCGTGGGTGCCGTGGACCACGTTGAGCACACCCCTGGGCGGGGGGGGGGGATGTTAGGTGTGATGCCTGCAGGTTGGAAGTGCCAGAGGGAACAAGCCATGGTTGTTCGCCCACATGCGCCGCTTCATCAAAAAAACCCTTGCACAACACGAAAATAACCCCTTCACCCCCAACTCGCTCACTTTGGCAGGCCGGCCTGCTGCGCCAGGTCAGCCAGCGCCATGGAGGCCCCTGGGTCCCTCTCGCTGGGCTTGAGCACGAACGTGTTGCCCGCCGTGACCGCCATGGGGAAAAGCCACAATGGCACCATGGCCGGGAAGTTGAAGGGGCAGATACCCGCGCACACCTGGGTTGGGAGTGAGCGCTGCGCTTTCAGAAGCTGCTGCAGCCTCAATGTGAGCAGCAGTGTCAATGCGGCGAGCCTGTCACCTGCGCAATCATCGGTGCTGCCCTGCAACCCACTCATGCAAGCCGTTGCGTGCAGCTGCCCGCCGCACCCCGAGGGGCTGTCTGTAGGAGTAGCAGTCGATCCCGGAGGCCACGTTTTCCACAGTCTCGCCCATCATCAGCGGTGCAATGCCAGCCGCCGCCTCGACCACCTCTGTAAAAGGGCAGTTGCAGGGGGCGGTTGGGGAAACACACATCCACGCACGTACACAAGAACAGCTCGTGCACATGCGCTGGTGCTCCGTTACAGGTCCTTCTTTCTGAATGTGTTGAACAACGTCAGCCAAGCGTCTTCCCAGGCCCTGTGCTCCCTGCTGTGACCCTGCGCCCTGTCCCACAGCTCACCCAGCCCTCTGAACACGTCGCCCCGTGCGTCCAGGAACGTTTTCCCCTGCTCCTGGGTGACCAGCTTGGCCAGTTCATCCTGGGTGGTAAAAGGGACGCGGGGCAAGGGGTAAATGTTGCGAGGCGTTGCGATGGGTGTGGTGGTTTGCTGGCCACTCCTGCCCACGCAACACCGGTTTGGGCAGGTCCTTACCCAGTTTTCGCGGATGAGGTGCTGGAATTTGAGCATAACACGCGCACGCGTAGACACAGGGGTGTCGCGCCATCCCGGAAATGCGGCCTTGGCGGCTGCCACGGCGGCGTTGAATTCATCAGGAGTCGTCAGCGGCAGTTTCGACACCACATCCTGAGTCGCCTGGGGGCACACAACGTGCGGGCAGGGGGGGAAAGGGGATGCGACCCAGGTAAAAGGGCACCCACAGCTCAAGGTGACAGACGGCAGGCAGCTCGCCACCACTGCATTGCGCTCATTGAGTGAAATGCAGCACTTGAGCTGTGGTGCGCCACACACACGAGTCACCGCTGACGACCGCGGCAGCCCGCACCGGGCAGACGACATCAACCCATTGGGATGTCTGAGAGTCGACAAAGTCGCCGTTGATCAGCAGCTTGGTCGTGGGCTGTGAGGTTTGGCGGGAGGGGTGAGACGACAACTGCAACGAGCCTTGCAGTGATGCGCCAGGCCAGCGCTGCGCCCACTCACCGGGGCGGTCCCATGCGCGTGGGCTGACTCGGGCACGCTTGATAGAGATGCCAATCCCCACCGCGACGTCGCATATAGCGAGCGCGCGGTGTGCCTCGCCAGAACTGGCAGCATGCTCGAGATCAAGCAAGCTCGGCTACACTTGCAGCTGAGATTTAAGTTATCAACTTTCTTCCTGACACCGTATAACTCAAGTCAAGGCTAGGTATGAGAAACCTGGCGACAGCTGCAATTTCGTGACTCGCAGTCGGCTCGGTTCTCTGCGTATCATATTACTGTTGTATTCTTAAACACTGACACTGAAATCTTCTCGAGGGAGAGCACAAGGAGCATGATTGTGACGATGTTGGACCCAGCTCGTGAAGCGCACCGTCGGTGTTAACGTTAGACTTGCTCCCATGCCCGGGAAGTGGGATGATGGACCGCCTGGCGATCCTCATGCTGCCTTAGCAGGGCCAGGCGCGCCACAGCCCTCTGCGCAGCACCCACTTTGGCACCAGCAGCGTGCGGCGCCGCCGCCGAATTCTCCGGCAGGTGTGCCCGATCCCAGCGCTGTGCTTGCGCAGCTTCAGCACCAAAAGATGCAGGTGCATCAGCGGCTGTTACAAGCACAGCAGCAGCCGCCCAGCCCGCAACAGCAGCAAATGCTTGCCTTGCTGCACAACTGTGCGGCTCAGTTGGAACAGCAGCTTCAAGCGCTGCTTCAGGGGCTGGTACAACAGCAGCAGCAGCAGCAGCAGCAGGTGCGGCCCCCAGCGCAGCACCCGCAGCAGCAGCAGCAGCAGCAGCAGCAGCTGCGTCCCCCATCGCAGCACCCGCAGCAGCAACAGCAGCAGCAGCAGCAGCAGCAGCAGCAGCAGCAGCAGCTGCTGCGGCCCCCACCACAGCACCCCCGGCCGCCGCCGCAGCAGCAGCCGCAGCAGCAGCACCAGCAGCACCAGCAGCAGCACCAGCAGCAGCATACACAGCATCGCCTTGCTGTGCCGCCCATCCAGAATCATGGTCATCATCACAATCATGATTACCAACAGCGACAGCAGCAGCAGCAGCAGCAGCAGCAGCAGCAGCAGCAGAAGCAGCAGCAGCAGCAGCAGCAGCCCGGTCCCAAAGCACCTCAGCAGCAGCATGGGCAACAGAGGTGGGGCCCTGCTCCCACCCCCACCGGTCCCAGCGCGGCTGGTGCTGCCGCCGGGGTGCAGCAGGTCGGCCAGCCTGCAGCTGCGTCGTGGGCAGTGCGCCCAGCTGGTGCGCCGGCAGCACTCCCGCATGTTGCTGCAGGGGCGAGCCAGCAGCCACTTGAGGTCGTTCAAATCCAAGCACTACCTCAGGCCTTGCCAACGCAACTGCTGGGGCACAAGCAGCCCGGCATGCAACTAGTGCTGGGTGTGACTCCCGTGCTCGCACCAGGGCCTGCATCGGGGTCAACGCCTCCGCCGCCCCCTGCGGCTGCACCGCCACCGCCACCACCCCTGGCCATTGACTCCTTGAGAGGTGACCCACAGGTGAGGCAGGCTGGGCTGCATGAGCGGCGTCTCATCCTCATACTAATGCACCGATTGTAACGACGTGGCTGATGTGTGCGGATGCGTGAGATTTTGGGAGGGAGCACGTCTCTCTGCTTGAACGAGCTGATCTCGTATCGTACGTCGACCCGGCACGCATGGACCCGCCTGCCTGCTCTTGTCGCAGGCCCTGCTGGGGGCTGTGGCGAGACGCTCAGAGCTGTCCGATGCGGACGCGCGGGGCGCCCTGGCTGCACTCGTGGAGGCGCTCGCAGGCGCGGCAGGCCCCAGCAGCACAGATGCGAGCTCGCTGGCTGGCCACCCAGGGTTGTCTTCGCTGCTGTCGCGGCTGGCGGCTCTGAGCGGCGGATGGGGACCGCCCTCTGCATTTGAGGTGCTGGAGGCGTTGGTACGGCTGGACGCGTGTGCTCCCAAGCTGGGCCTCAAGGGTGGGTTTGGGACCCGTGCTTGGAAGGGTGCATTTTGGGTAGTTACGCAATTCATGCAGCACTTGCGTGACAGAGTTGCTGCTCACAGCACTTGCGCCACATTCTTGCAACGTTGCTTACTCTGCTCCTCCCTACTGCAAGGTTCTCGAGCGGCAACCGCTTTGCTCGACGCACTAGCACAGTCCCTGGCGCGCGGGGCGGCACGCCTGGGCCAGGACGGCTTTGCCCGCGCCGCTGCATCTTTCTCGGCGCTGGCTCACCCGCCGCCAGCACTGCTAGGGGAAACGGTGCTCAGGACGCTGATGCGCGGCGACAGCGCGGATGGGGGCGCGACGGCCCTTCTGGAGCTGCTGCTTGGGCTCGCGGCAGCTGGTGGGGGCAGCGGGAGCGGCGGTGGCAGCAGCGACAGCACTGTGCTCCCGGCACAGCTGGTAGATGGGGCGTCCCGCGCATTGCTAGACGCGCTTGGCCGGCTGTCGCCGCCAACGGTGGCGGCGGCCCTGGCCGCGTTCCCTCGGTTAGGCCTGGGCGCGGCAGGGGCGCGGCTGCTGTCGCGGCTGTCTGCTGAGTACGCAAGGCGGCCCGCGGTGAAGCCAGACCCCCGCCTGGTGCTGGCCGTGCTGCAAGGCCTGGCGGGGGCGGTGGACGCCCTCGACGCAGCGGCAGCAGTGACAGCGGGGCCGGGGGACGTCGGCGGCGTCAGCGGCGGGTCCCTGCGCCACGTGTCGGCGGCGCTGCTGAGCGTCTTGTGGGAAGACCTGCTGCCGGCGCTCGGGGGCCTGGCCGCAGAGGACCTCTACGCTGCGGCGGGCCTCCTCGTGCGGCTGGGCTGCTTCAACCCCAGCACTCCCTGGAAGGCCCAGGCGGCAGACGCGGTCGCAGCGGAGCTCAGGGCGCGCCTTGCACCTGGGGACGCACGGCTTGGCAGCGCACTGATGGCACTGCCAGACCTGCTGAGCACCCTGCAACAAGGCGAGGCGCAGCCAGGCGCGCGGGAGCTCGCTGCCCATGCGCGGCGCGCCCTCGCGGAGGCACTGGAGTCCGCCCCATCCGCAGTGCTGTGGCGCTGCGCGGTCGACCTGGCGCGCGGGCCTGGAGGGGGTGCCGCGTTTGACGAGGGGGCCTTGGGTGCCCAGCTACTGGCGGCGGTGGCGCCACGACTTGGGGATTCCGTCTTGGGAGTAGCAGCCAGCGACACCAGCCGGCGTGCGAGCAGGATCAGCGCCGCAGAGGACGCTGGCGAGCGCCAAGGGTCAGCAGGTGCAGAGTTTGCCGCGTGTGCGCCAGACCTGGCTGCATTGGCCGCACTGGTCGAGGCATGGGCCCGGCAGCCGGCAAGTGTGCAAGACCACAGCTCCGCCCTGCTGGGCTGGCTGGACCTGCCACATGTCGTCAGCTCGGCGCTTTGCCCTTTGCTGCCCGTGGCTGACGAAGCTGCAGCCACTGGTGGGGCTCAGCAGCCGGCGCCGCTCACTGAGGCGTCGTGGCGGCTGCTGACGCGGCTGCTGAGGGCAGTCGTCAACATTGTCGCTGCCAGTGCAAAGGCGGCCCAGGCGCAGCTGCGGCGGGAGCAGGGCAATCCACCGGGCCGCCATGACGAGACCGAGCTGGCTAAAGGCGCCGGCAGCCGTGCGAGCCCCGCCGAGGCGGACGGCCTGCCGCCGGCGTTGCTGCTGGGCACTTGCTTGGCGCTGGTCGAGTCTCAGGGCCAGCCGCCAGGCAACAGCGGCGCGGCTGTGTGCTCGGCTGCCGATGCGGTGTCGCTGCTTTGGAGCTTGTCTGCACTGGGCGCACTCGCCCTCGGCCATTGGGATGTGCTGGCCATTGCCTTAGACAAGCCAGGTCTCTCCTTTGACGACGCGCAGCTGGCAGCGGTGTTTGAAGCCCACTCGCTGGTGTTGCTGCGCATGCACGGCATCGTGCACCTCCCCACACCCGCCGGCGAGCTGCTGCGCTGCCGCGGCGCCTATTGGGCACGCTCGCTGGCGCCAGCGGCGGCAGAGCGCGCAGCCGTGGGCGGGGCTCTGGAGCGGTGTGGTTTGCTGCGGCATGGGGCGGGCGCAACCACTCAGGAACAGGGGCACCTGCTGCTGCTGGACGCCATCGACGAACGTGCGCAGGGGGTTTGTGGGTGTTTCGCCGTCTGGCGCCTGGACTGCCTGGATTGTAGGCTGTTATCGGCCCTTTGTATTTGCTGCATTTTTGCACAGCATGCTGACTGTGTGAATGGACAGGTATGCCGGGCAGCCCCTCGTGGCCATGTGTCATGGCACCCGCTCACCTCGCCGTGCAACAACCACCGTTCAACAGGTTCACGCACGGCGTGGAGCGTCGACAAGGCAAGGCCCCTCGCCGTCCGCCTCGCCACGCGCGCCGCGCTGAGGCTGCACGCTTGGGCCCAGGCGGACGTTGCGGCGGACGACCTGGAGGGGCCCGGGGACATGGTGGCGGCGCGGCTGCAGGGCCTGGCGGCGGCGGCCAGGGCGGCGCGCGAGGCGGAGCTTGCCGAGCTGATGGCGCCGCTGCGGGCGCTGGTGGAGGCGCAGCGCGCGGCGGGCGCCGGCGCCAGCGTGGCTCAGCTGGCGGCGCTGATGGATGCCGTCGACTCGGCGGTGGCTGCGGGCACGGCGCCTGCGCTGACCGCGCAGCAGCTGGGCATCATGCGACAGATCGCGTCGATCGCCGCACCCACCGCTGCGGGCGAGGAGGAGCAGCAGCAGCAGCAGCCGTCCGAGGGCGGCGTCGGGGAGGACGAGGGTGACAATGAGTGGGGTCCCCCACCCGACTCCAGCCGCTGGGACGCCGTGGACGCCTTCCTGTTCAGCCGCGCGGCTGCCTCAGGGGCGCAGGTCGGCCCCTGGTGGTTCACAGAGCGTTTGCTGGTGCCGGGCGGTGGTGAGGCGCCGCCGCCGCCAGCGGCCCCGGAGCTGCAGGGAGTGGACGTGGCAGCGCTCGCGGCGGCTGCGGCCGAGGCGGCGGTGCGGCACTGGGAGGCGCAGGAGCAGGCTCATGAGGAGGAGAGGGTCAGGCAGCAGCGGCAAGCGGCGGGGCGGGACAGCCAGGTGACCGGTGGCGGGGCCGCCACCGCAAATGCATCGGTGGCGCCTGAGGCAGACGATGCCACTCCTGCAGCCGCAGAAGCAGACGCTCGCGGCCGCCTCAAGCGTGGGCGCAGCACCAGGAGCAGCAGCACGAGCAGTGGCGGTGGCGGCAGCAGCACGTCCTCGCAAGCTGGCAGGGCAGGACGGCAGCCTGGCCGGCGCGAAGGGCCGCGCAAGTGGCGCGAGAGCCGCAGCCGGTCGCGCAGCCACAGCCGCGACAGCGGAGCAACCACAGAGGGCAGGGCGGGCGATGAGGAGGAGGGGGAGGTGGCCGGGCTGGGTGACGTGTCGAGCGACAGTGAAGGCGAGCGCCGTGCTCCTGCGCCCACAGGGTTTGCAGGACGGGGTGTGGGGCCCTCGCCGCGTCGGAGGTCGCCTGCTTTGGGTTCACGGCGGCGCACAAGCAGGGGACGCAGTCGCAGCAGGAGCCGCAGCAGGAGCCGCAGCCGGAGCAGCAGCAGGAGCCATGGCCACCGTCGGCATCGCCGCCAGCGTCGCCGGACCCACAGCCGCAGCCGCAGCCGCAGCGGCAGCCCCATCCTGTTCTCTAGGCGAGACAGCCGCGCAGGCACTGGAGGCCGTGGGGTTGGCGGTGGCAGCAAGACCGCTAGCAGGCCTGTCACACCTCCATGGAGCAAGCAGCAGAAGCAGCCACAGAAGCGTCAGCAGCAGATGAAAAAGCAGCCCCAAGCTGTTGTGGGTGTGCAGGCCAGCGTTGCGCCGCAGGCAGCTGCTGCGGCTATCCCCACCAGCCCTGGAGCGTGGTCGTTTGGTGGGGCCGCTACTGCTGCCGTACCAGGCGGGGGTGCAGCAGCGGGCGGCTTTGCGCAGCTGGTCGCCATGCCAGGTGGCGGTTACGGGTATTACGCAGTGCGCCAGCAGGCGCCAGGCACGGCAGCAGCAGGGCGGGGCGCCACTGTCGTGCCAGGGCTGCATGGCCAGCCACTGCAGGGTCTGCCGCTGCAGGGCCAGCCGCTGCAGGGTCGGCCGCTGCAGCCGCAGCTGCGGGGCGTGGGTGGCCTCGGAGCCGTGCGCGGCCCCCTGGTAGCTGGCGCCGCAGCAGGTTTCGGTGCCTCAGGCATGCAGCGTGCGCCTATCATGGTGCCAGGCGTCAAGGGACCCGTGCCCCCGCCCCTTGCACCGCCGAACCCACCGCCCCTGGCAGCGTCGCAGCACAATGCAGCAGCCCCCAAGAAGCAAGGGCCAGCAGCCAGCAAGCCTGCCCCATCGGCATCGCTGGCAGCGGCAGCTGCAACAGCGGCTGCAGCAGCAGCGACGGCGAGGTCGGGTGTGAAGAAGCCGCCCGCTGGGGCCCCCTCAGGCAGCCGCACTGGGCGGGTGCGGGGCCCAGATGCCCTGGAGACTGCCACTGCTGCGCTGGCAGACGGGCGCAAGCGCATGCAGGCGCCGCTGTCCTCCATTTTCTGCGAGCAGGTGCGGGTGGGGATCCCCACTGCACGCACACCAGACCACGGCAAACACGCCAGGGCCAGCTCAGCTGCAGTGCACTCTGTCAGGTCATCGCATGCCTCTTTTGCGACAATCTGTCCGGGAGTGGGCACTGATCAATAGCTCATGTGTCATGCCAACCCCGCTCCCTTTCTCTATCCACCCTCTCCCCTTACCCCCCCCCCCTCAGCTGTTGTCAATGCTGGATGCGGGCCTGGAGGAGGGGCCCTCACACTAGCTCGGCGACGTCGCCCCACCCTCCTGCAAGCCTGACTGAGGTGCAGCAACTGGGCGGCGATGCTCATCTTGATGGAGTGAGCAGGCCAGAGCCAAGGTACACCCACCAAAGCTGCCCGCAGATGCGCATCCAACCCCAACCAACTGCATCTCAGGATTGACACTGCCCGGGGGGTTCTTGCGCGGCTGCAGTCTGCTCTACTGCTCTGATGCAGGGGCTTTAGTGGAGTCGCTTTGTGCACGCATGCATTTCTCGTTTGTCAAGGCAAGAGACTGCATCGGTCCAAAATGGTGATGAGCTGGGGTGCATTTGGCCTTTCATGTAGCTGCACATGCTGCAATGCGGTCAAATGCACACGGCAAGTACAACACAGCACACACGCTCACAAAGTTGCCAGCAAGGCAAAGTGGTATGCGACTTTGCAAATCAGGTCGCCTTGAGTCATTCTCAACCCATCACAGCGAAAAGCTGCAGGAACAGAGTGCATGCAACTGGAATACACAGAGAGCGGTCCTTACGCCCCCCGCCCCCACCCCCAGCCTGATGAGCCGTGCTTTCACTGCCCCACCACGCTTGTTGCCAGCTGCGGCCCAGCCATGCCAGCCCCATCGGGCCCCTCGCCGCCTGCCTTGCCGGCAGGGCTGGACTGCTTGCTGCTGTGTGCACCTGCATGCCCTGCATCCCGCAGGAGCCGCTCCATGGCTGAGAGCTGCTCCACCAGGTGGCGCGGCACAGCCTTGCCCTGCCAGTTCAGGACCTTGCGCGTCACTTGGATGTTGTTGTGCGCTGCGGGCAAGAGGTTTTGGGGGCGCAGGTGTCGACACACTGGGATCAACAGGTACGTGCACATCAATGCAGCCATGTTTGGTCGGGTCAAGCATGCGTCAACGTATCACGCCTGCTGCCCTGCATCCGAACAAGGCACTTGATTGCCAAGCAGCTTACCAAGCCCAAATGTGGCGCCCTCAAACGAGACGTCTATCCGCCGCCAGGGCAGCGTCGTCAGCCGCTCCAGCATCACTGACAGTCGCTCTGCACGGCTGGCTGGTTGCCGCGCCCCACCATCCAGGCTGCCGTGCTGCCTGCCGGCACCAGCAGAAGGGGAGGTGGGCCCCCCCGCAATGCCAGACAGCCCGGCCTGGAGGTCTGCCTCGGCCGACTGCGCCTCAGCTGCGCCCCGGGCCCCCATCGCCGCCGCCTCCTCTGCCTCTTGCTGCACAGATATGCCCGCCGCAGCTGCTGCGCTGCTGAAACCGCGTTGAACGGCCCGCACAACTTGGCCAGCCGCAGATGCTGTCGCGCCATCGGTCAAGGTGCCCTGCCGCCCTTGCGCCTCACCAGAGCTCTCGGCCCCCCATTCGGGAGCCGTGTTGGCCTCTGCAGCTGTGGCCCAGTCCTCATCAGCAGAGGCGCCCCAATCTTCGTCGCTGCTGCCAGAAGCTGCCTGCGGCCCCGAGGAGCCATTTGGTCCCCCGCTGCTGCTGCTGCTGCTGCTGCCGTTGCGGAGGGCTTGCCACACGCTGCTGCTGCTGCTGCTTCCGTTAGCCCCACCAACCTGCTGCCCTGGATGGGAGGTGGGTCCTTCGTACGCCCGGCTGCCCCTGTACTCCTGCAGCTTGGCGGCAGCAGCAGGCTCGCCATTCCCGCTGCTGCGTGCATTTGCCATCAGCCGCTGCAGCTTCCTCCACTCGTCGCGGTCCCAGGCTGCCGGCAGGGGGTCCTCCAGCACGACGCCCCGCGCCTCACGGGTGGCCTCCGGGGGCAGGGGGGGCAGGCGGTCCAGGGGCCGCAGGGAGCTGTTGGCCCACCCCACCAGGTGGTCGCCTGCGAGGGTCGGGGCACGGAGTTTGCAGGCAGATGGTGCAGAAACGCGCCGGTATGTTGAACAGCATGCATGCTGCCGCTCCATCCTCCAAGAGTGTCAATAGTCAAGTTGTCCTGACAGGCAGGACCAACTAGGCTGTGGCAACACACCGTCGGTGTTGGCATAGGCTGTGCGTGTCTTGAACGCCTTCAGAGCAGAGTAGAAGTAGAGCCCCTTGGAAGGAACGTCCTCAGTCATCTGAGGCAGAAGCAGGGTAAGAGGCGAGCCGCGCAGACAATGGCCGTCGATGACGAGCCGGGTCTCGAGTTTGGAGAGGCGACCAAAGGGATGAGGGAACGGACCGGCTGGCTCCAGTCAAACCTGCAGTCAAACAATGACTGGAGGCACAAGGTCATGGTCATGAGTCCCGCATAACCCCGCCTGTTTGCCCACCTGGTATAACAGCGGCTGGTCTGCGTCTGCCGTGCCAAACGCCGTCTGGCGCTGCCTTCCCTTCTCAGGGGCAGCTTCAGGCACAGGCGCAGCTGAGTCCGCGGCGCCGCCGCCATCCAGCAGGAAAAAGTGCTCTCCTGTGCGCCGCAGCAGCGCAGCCCCCGTGGCGTGTGCGATACCCTGCAGGAGGCCTCGTATCTGGTCGCCCAGCAGCGGCAGGCCCCCGCTCCAGGTGATGAAGGGCACCGCTGACACGCCGTCGGTGTCACACCTGGCGCAGCAGGGTGGACGGCGGGGCACGGAGGACCGTTTGGTTGAGCTTGTCATGTCAGGATTTGTGCGGCTATGCTTTATGCTTTCATGGCAGCTGGGATAGCAGCACATAGCACTGGCGCACCGGGACTCACCCAAAGTGCGGTGTAGCAAGCGTTATGAAGTGGGTTGGCTGTAAGCCAGCGATGGTGCCAGCCGAAGGGTTGAACAGCACCCCGAGCGCGTAGCGCGCCATGAGGCCTTGCGGGTCAGGGGATGGGGGAGCGAGGGGGGTGAGCAGTCCACTGTGGCGCCTCGCCTCAGGCATTTAGGAGTAAAGTCGACGTGTGACTCTGATGGCAGAACAGTGAGGTGGCTGCCGGGTGTGCCTTGCAGCCCGCCCCCCCCCCCCCCCGGCAGGCCGCGGCCTAATTGCACGGCGTCACACAAGCCCATCCAGCCGATACGGCAGCAGCCCCAGCCCCCTGTCTCCCGTTCCCTTCAGCGGCCAAGCCGCCCCGCGCCCACCTCCCATGCTGTGGCCAATGAAGCTGATACGGGTCAGGGAAGCGTTCTCCGGCGCAGCCGCCACAGCGCGCACCTCGTCCGCCAGCCGCTGGCCGCAGCGGTCGATGCCGTCCCACGTCGCAAATCGCACGTTGGCCTGGCTCCTGGGGCGTCAGAAACGGGCCAAGGTGGCAGCGGCACTGGAGCCACAACGCTGAGCACCTCATTCGTAGGCCAAATTGCTTACCTGCATGTTGCATCTGCACCCCCACACCATGCGGTGGTCTGCATGTTGGCCCTTTGCCAACTCCCTGATGCTCGTCCACAGCACCCACCCTTCCCACCCTAACAAACCTGTGCAGCAGCATGTCCGCTGAAACCTGCGGGGGCAGGCGCTTCCGCAGCTGCTCACACAGCACGTCCCAGTTTGACGGCGCGCCTGACAGACCTGACAACACGGGCGGGCGGAGGGGGGAGCATGGCGTGGAGGTCTGCCCTGGTGCGCTGGTGCGCGCGGGTCAGTTGCCGACACAAAAAACTGATTTCGCAGTGCTCGTGCAGCATGTGCGCCTTGTCCACTTCATTGACCCCCGCCGTTCCCTTCAGCCTGCTCTTGCCTGCCGCCTGCAAAGGCCCTCCTCACCGTTGACCATGACCACCAGGTGGGTTGGCCTCAGCCGCCTCGTGGCATCCTCCACGTCTGCTGCGGGGATGACGCCGGGCTCCGCCGCAGCAGCACTCAGCGAGCGCCGCGCTGGCGCGACCCCCGCTCTTGCGCGGCCAAGGCTGGGGAAGCGAGCACTGAAGAGCTTCGCCAATGCCCCTGGTGACGCCGCCTCGCGTTGCTGTTGGGAGTTCCACCACCCTTTATAGCCGGCGCCGGCCCCTGCGCTGGCCATGCTGGTACCACAGCTTTTGGTTACCACGCTGCTCGTTGCCACGTTGCGCCGCGCTGCTTGTGTGGATGCTGCAACACTGCGCCACGCGCTGCGGCGGGCTTCTGGGCTTTACCCCCGAGCTTCAGGTTTTGCAAGGCAGATGTATGTACTGAGCGGCTGGCTGGCTACGATTTGGGCCACGGCACAAGTGGGTGACACCCAGCGACGCTCGAACGAGCGATCTGATGACTCTGATAGCTTTTACAAAAGCGTTCCAGAATGTTCACAGAGAGAAACGCGTCTGCCCCTACGACGTGCCGTCAAATCACACTTGTGTACGGTATGTGCGGTGGCTTCTCCGGCAGAGGGCTATCAATCAATTAAAATCCGAGCTTCACGTCCTCTGAAGTCATCTCCCTTCTGTTCAATAACAAAAAACTCGGCAGGCACTTGTTCACCCGAGGCTCACCGCCAAAGTCTGGGCACCGTTCGGCACAGTCCGGCCCAGCGCGCTAGGATGCGCGCTGGAGGGTGCTTTTGCGGTATCCTACTGCTGGCATGTTGCAACTTAGGTGGGCGCTTTAACCGAGGAGATAGGCCTGCGGCGCGGGTCCCACGCGGCGGGCGCCTCTCGAGTGCCGCTCGCGACAACCCACACTCTGGCCAAATACACTGCCGCCATCTTCGCATGAGAGGTTGCATTGGTGTGTTGATGAGGCCACATATCTGCCTCAGACAGCCCATGTACCCCTACTACCCGTGCCATCGTCTGCGCCGCACCCGCAGCTGCAGGTTCCACACAAGCACGACAGCCTTTGGGCCGCGGCGCCACCGCACGGCCTGATGACGCCTTGAAAGATACCAACAGGCTGTTTGGTGGCAGCGCACGCCGTCTGAGGCAGATTGCAGTCCTGGGCCTAGCGCAGCAACAGGCGCTGGTTGAGCAATTCCAGCGGCAGCAGGCCGCAAGGCAGCGGCTGTTCTCGCAGCGCATGCTGCTGCCGCAGCAGCAGATTACAACGTTCTCGCCAGCGCAGTACGCACCCTGGCAGCAGCAGCAGGCAGCATTGCCATATGGGCAACCTTTGCAGTATGTGCAGCAAGCGCCGGCATACCCACAGCAGGTGCCTTATTCGCAGCAGTCCTATCAGCCGCCGCAGCGGCCCGTTTTCTTGCCATCGCAGCAGCTGTTCCCGCAGCAGCCGATGCAGTGGCAGGCGCAGCAGCCGGCGCCATCCATAGATCTGCGGAGAGCCCTTCAGGGGCCGCAGGAGGGCGTTGCCAACATTGCGGCAGGGCAGAGCAGGGCCGCGCCAACGGAAGAACCGGCGGCCAGCGCATCCGACGGACTCCCCGCGCCCAGCCCTGCTCGAAATACCACGTGGCGGTCACCGTCCAACGTGACGCAACTTCAGGCGCAGCCCAAACCGCGCAACAACGAGTCTTTGGGGCCTTTGCCGCTGCAGCCGGCGACCTCGCGGCCTTTGGGCAAACCTGTGCCTTCTCTTTCGCCGAAGCAGTCCCCAAAGCTCTCGCCGTCACCCCGAGCCACCACGCCCGTGTTGCCGCTCGCCCCAAAGCCATTGCCAAAGTCTTCGCCATCAGTGCCGGTGGCTAAGAAGGCACCTCAAAATTCAGGGTCGCTGGGCGTTTGCGCCGACCAAGACATCAAGCTGCCGGGTACGTCTATGCCCAGGTCGTACGGACTTGCCATGATTCGGGCTGATAAGCTGGCGCCCATCGCGCCGCCCAAGACGCCGTCAAGCGACGATGCAACGTCGGACACGCCGGGCAACGACTACCCGCGCATCGGTGTGCTGGTGTGCATCGTGTCGAGTGGCGTGGACCGCACAGCAGCGGCGCTGTCCAGCAGCAGCGCTGGTATATCCGGCTGCGTGGACGAACACCCCCTCGATCCAGGCGGCTGCCCCTTTGCCTGGGACAAAGACGCCACCGGCCAGGGCACCCACCTAGCCTCCATCGTTGCGGGATCGGCGCCCAGCGACGGAGGCGGCGACGAGCGCCAAGCAGTGGGCGTTATCCCGGGCGCAGAGATCTACAGCGTGCGTGTGTGGAACAGTAGCAAGTCTTCATCCAATGCGCCGGGTGATGGCGCCTTTGCCACGAGCCGGCTGCTGGCCTACACAGCATGCGAGGGGCGTCTGCGCGGCCTGCAGGCCAGCAACTATGGCCGCTCAAATTACCGCATGGTGCGCGGGAGAGGGCTGGGGAAGAGGATTGCACAGCACAAGCAGTTTGTGGAGCAGGGGCGAACAGCTGCATTGCAGCGCTGACACCGCTTGCAACCGTGCCGCTATCAAAGCGCCCTGTGCAGCGATGCAGGGGGGTCCCGCCCAGCACATGGAGAGTATGCCAATCGGTTTCGAGCCCAATCGGGGGCCCCGCCAGCGCCTCGCACCCTCCCATAGAGCACACATGGCCACACGCATACATGCCCGCACGCGCGCACGCAACCATGCGTATGCACATGTCACTCCAACCCCCAGGTGATGCTCATGGACATGCAGGCGTCCACTGAGGGTCCCAGCCAGCTGGAGGACGGAGCACCACGCCGGGAGCTGTACCCCAGTGATTCAGAGTGGATCAGGAGCGCAGCCGACTTCGCCGATGACATCATTATAGTTGCACCGGCAGGGGATGCTTGCAAGCGCGGGCCGACATATCCCGCGCAGATAACAGCCAAAGATGACCGCCTGCTGTCAGTCGACGCCGTCGGCTGCGAGGGGAAGCGCCTGTGTGGCACGCATACGCGCCCAGGCCGCGCCCCCGACCTGCTGGCGCCCGGCATCAACATCACGGGCGCCTCGCCAGCTCCCGCACAAGTGGCAACACTATCCCTTGCGGGCCGTGGCAGTTTGCAGCTGCTCGTTGCGTCACCCGGCAGTGCGGCGGGCAAAAACGCGTTTCCGGTGACACTGGCAACCTGCGCCAGGAATGGCACCTGTCCAAAACCTGCGGGCAGCGTGCGGCAGCTGTGCGTGCTGCAACTGGCTTACGGCGACATCCGCTCGTCCATGTGCACTGCTCTGGGTGAGAACACCGGCTGCCGGGCGGGGCTGGTGGTGGCTGCACTGGAGGGCGAGCGGGACTTCAATGGGTGGCAAGCCGAGGTGGCGCAGAACGTTGACGGGTGCTGGTCCTCGTACGGCAGCAGCTCCGCTGGCGTCAAGACCCCTGTGCTCATGGCCACAGCTGCTCAGGGCGCAAACCTCAAAGCGGCTGCAGCAGCCGTCGGCAGTGCGCGCGGCAGCCTCGCTGTCAGCCCCGCGCTGCACAGGACACGCAGTGGCACGCCGCAGGCGGCCGCGTGGGTGGCGGGTGCAGCTGCTCGACTAATGACAAGATTTGTCATGTGCAATGCCAGCAGCGTCACAAAAGCGCTGATCAGCACGGCGCGACAGCTGGTGAATGGGCGGCTGACGGAGCAGACTGGCCGCGGCGGGCTGTTGCAGGTCCAGGATGCCGAGGACTACTTGGCGAAACAGCCATGCGCCCAACAGCAGCTGCTGTCAGTCCCAGCAGACAGCCCAATTGAGGATGATCAGCAGCAGCCCTCGCGCCGCAGTGCTGCCGCGCCGCCGCTGTCATTCACGGGTATCGCGCCGCTGTCTACCAGTCGACAGCGGCTAGGTTGAGGTTCATTCTGTTGGCAATTTATGCATGCAGCACACATCTACACAGTGTGGCTAGCACGCATCTAGCTTGTGTACAGAATTTCATGCATGGTCTTAGGTATATGATTAGGTACTGTACTCTTACACGATGTGATGTTGGTTCTACTGTAATCCAAATTCCCGCCGACACGTTGGTGCCTGGTTGGTGCAACGCGGCGGCAGCAGGCGCCACTTCAGAAGCACCGGGCATTCCTTGTTGCCTTCTTTCAAACGGTTGTTGGTACAATCTATAAACGTATATCATCATATCATAGCGCACCGCGCGTTATAGATCCTACAGACGATATCATAGTTCCAGGAGTCAGGGCTCCGATCGCGTCTGGCAGATGCAGCTCCACATGCGCTGGCAGGCGGGCCTGCTGCGTCAACATGCACATGCACCGCCAGCACGTGTATGTGCTCCCAGATCGAGGGCTGTGCCCGCGTCTGCCGAAGCTGCAGAAGCGAGGCCGACCGTCCTTCAGACGTGCGTTCACACAGCATTTATGAGCGCTGTGAGGGTGGCCGAGGGTGCATGGACAAGCGCTAATGCCATGGCGCCGCAGCCGGCCGTCAGTTCGGATATCCGATTTGACGCGCCACTGTGTTGCGCTTTTTGCATGGGGTTACTGGACTGCGGGCCAGGCACACCAGGAATGCTAACACTGCAAGCTCTTGGATTATGCGGGGCCAGTGGCGCAGCGGGCAGCCAGCGCGGGAGCGCAGGTAACACGATTGCCCCATTCCCCCCTCCCCACCCGACCACGGCTGTGCAGCTCCCGCAATCCGGCGTTTGACCGCTTTCCTGATCCTGAGGAGGTGGTTTACGCAACCTTCAGATGGCCTGTGCAGCTGGGTGGCGAGGACGTGCGCGTCTCGGGTACGTGCGCCCGCTTCGCACGCACCGACGACGCGCATGCGAGGGTCCCAGCTTCGCCGTAGTGAATGCGATCCCATGCCATCCATGAACGGGGCATGACTGGGGTTCATGGGAACCAGCCCTCTGACGCGACAGCGCAAAAAGTGCTGCCAGGTGCCACCTGCTGCGACCCACCCGTTCGCTCTTTGCGGCAGTGTCAGGGCATGCACCCGCCTGTTCATTGCGCCACTCCGCGGCCCCCCAGGCAGCTGGGACAGCTGGGCCTCCCAGACCAGCCTGATGCCTGTGGCAGCGGACGGCCAGCAGGTGCTGTCCGCGCGGGGCGACGCGGTGCGCACGCTGCTGGTGCCGCGGGGCGTGCACGACTACAAGTTCATCGTGGACGGCAAATGGAGGCCGGCCCCTGCAGACCCCGTGGCCCGTGACCAGGCGGTGGGTGCGATCAGGATGGGAGGGGGGCCCAGGCGGGTGGAGGCCGATGGAAGGAGCCCCGGGCGGGAGGCCCGGCAGGGAGGTCCTTGCAGGGTTGTTGGCGCCCCCGGGTGGTTGATTGTGCTGTGTGTCCTGCGGCGGCCTTTCCAGCAACCTCACACTCACAGCCAACCCTGATGGTGGTCCGACTGTGTGTTTCAGGGCGCCACCAATAACAAGCGGCTGTTCACTGGCACGGGTGTCATCGCGTTCAAGGGGCGGCGCGACATGGAGGTGCTGGTCATGGGCGACTGGTCAGACTGGACGGTGAGGGGGGGGGGGCTCGCGGGGGTGGAAGATCAACGCCATGATGGGGGCCGACTGTTTGGAGTGGGGCGATCAGGATGTGAAGAAGCCGGCTTTGGGTGCCCTCCAACATGCTTGCACCTTGCGTTTACAAGTCTGTGCTTGTGTCCTGCTGTTGAAGCTATGGCCGGTGTTCTGAAAGCGCAGCGCCTCGCGCGCCTTTTTGCTGCCCGCAGGACGCGCAGCGCATGCTGTGGAATGAGCGCACGCAGCAGTGGGAGTGCCCTATGGCCCTGCCGGTGAGGCGGGGTCACCGCAGCAAGAGGGGATTAACGATCCTGCAGTCAGCTGCAGCGTGCGGGCCAAACGCTGTGTGCAGGCCAAACGCTGTGTGCGGGCCAAACGCTGCAGCGTGTGTATTCGCTCCCCTTCCATGGGACTCCCTGGCTTCCCTTCCCTCTGCTCGCCTCCCTTGACTTGCACCCGCACCCCGCCAACTGACACCAACTACACAACCTCCCCACACCTTTCTCCCCCCCCCCCAACAGCCTGGGGAGTACTCCTATGTGCTGCACTACCGGGACCAGTACAAGCTCGACCCCAATGGAGAGACAGGGCCCGCCGACGTCCTGGGCCGCACGCGCCACATCAACCGCCTGTTCGTGGCGCCGCCCTGCGCCTTCACGCTGTTCTATGCCACGGGGTGGCCGCGGTGCTCCCTCGTGTACCGCATCATAGAGGGACCAGACGCCCCCGAGGTGGGGGGCGCGTGTGTGTGTGTGTGTGTGTGTGTGTGAGTCAGTGTGTGTGTGAAGGATATGGGACAGACGGCGGAGGAGAGAAGGGGGGTGTTCCCAGGTCTGGCTGGCATGGGGCGCGCCGGGGCCGTGCTGCACGGCCCAGGACGACCCTGGGACGGAGGGGCTGGGCACATGCCGGCCCGCCGTGCTCGGGCCTTGCAGCAGCCTTCACGCCCTCATCGCTTGCACCCTATGCTAATGCAGGCGATGCAGTCGCTC